AATGTATACAAGTAGATTTATGGGTAAAGTGTTAAATTTACCCATAAATCTCCCTAATTTTAAGTGTTAAACTTCTTGTAAACTGTAGGAATGCAACAACCAAGCCTTGTTATTTATAAGTTATTTCAAGTGGTACATATTAACTATATTAACTGGAGTTAAACAAGGCACACATTCCTACATAGATACTGATTCCCACATAATTTTAAATTAAACATTGTTCCTCACTTTACTGATCAGAAAATCAATGTCAGATACATCAGACATTCCTGAGGAATACTGTTATAGCCTCTAAGCTTCTCTGCTTGCTACGTAACCTGCCTGTCCTGTTCTTATAGAGTCTGTATCTAAAATTCGGATTCCACAAAAGGGATCCTCAGATAGGCACACTGTAGAAATATATATGAGAAGTGACAAGGACATGAACTCTTCTGCCAGCATCTTTTCTCCAGGAAAGTCACAGACAAGCAAAGACCATTCTAGCTATGGCTACCACATGCCTATCTAGCAGTAACCATGACATTAAAAGGACCCTCATATTGCAGACCTGCACCTTCAGGGGAGCACTACCCCCATCCAGAGTTACCACTGAAGCAGATGGAGGAGTCCAACTTCAACTTGTTTTTTTTTTTCCCATCCACACCCTATCAGCCTCCAGATAATGGGTGAAGACTTTCCCTGCATTATTGACCCAGCCTCAGGTAGAGATGTATATAGGTTTTAACTACCTGACTCCTTCACACATTTAAACAGAGACACTATGTGAGATGTGCAGCTATATAAATGTGATAAATAAAAATAAATAAAAAATAAATAAATAGTTGGGGGAAAAAACAGTTGAATTGTGTTCCAACTAAAAATTCCAGTCCCATACAAAGTATATTCTAGCAGGACATAAGCAGCATACAGGTACTCCTCGGTTAACGACTGCTCGTTCAGTAACAGTTCAAAGTTATGACAGTGCTGAATGAGTGGTGGTTATAACTGGTCGTCAAAATTCCGGCTGTCCTAGCACCCCCGCGGTCACATGATTGCGATTTTCAACCTTCCTTGCTGGCTTTCCACAAGCAAAGTCAATAGGGAAACTGGCAGGGAAGGTTGCAACTAGATCGAGTAAGTCTCCCCACCAGAACCAAAAGTTCTTATTCTGTCCAAACTGGGTTAACTCCACTTTGGTCTTCATACCATGTTATTATAATTAACTAACCCTGGCTTCTTTGGACCATCTTGGCTTATGTGATGCATTCATTTGCATATAATGAGAAACTAGGTCATTTAAAGCAATAAATTAAAGTTTCTGATCTCTTCCTTCCGTCTTTTTTCCTTCTTCGGTTTTTTGCAATGAACACTAAAGGTTCATGCTTCAGAAGTGTGCATTAAAGCAAAAATATATGTAGATTTAATGACAAAATCATCTGTATGACAATAAGAGATGTTTGAAACATGATTATATCTGGAAACATTTCTGTAAAGGAAAAATGCAAGCAGCATACAGATTACTTGAGGCTGACACACAGGGATCAGCATCACATTTTAGCCCCCCCCCCCATGGTGCAATCCAGATTAAAGCCCCTACAGCTACTTCTTGAGAAACAGGAGTACGTTAGTAAGTCTAGTTCAGGGAACTTCTGCATCGTATCTTTCAATCATCTATTTTCAAACTCAGTTAAAATCTATTTCACAAGTCATAGCTTTTTGTAACCTGCTTTACCTCTTTCAAGTCCTGCACAATTGCTGTCAATCGTTCATTCTCTGCCTGAACATTGTTAACCACAGTCCTACTTTGTTTCAGCTCGTTCTGCATTTCCAAAATCTTTCCAAGGTAATAGGCTTCCTTTGATGCTGACTCCTGAAGGAGTGTCTCTTCCCGCGTCTCGCCATCTTCAGCTACTTTACGGTGGACCGAGAATGACTGTCCAAATGCCTGCAGAATTAAAATAAGGGCCCATTAAATAAACAAACATACAAGCAAACTCTCCTTAGAGCTACGTTGAATATTTTAAAAGAAAAAATGTATTCATAAACGGAGAGAGCTATTAAGAACAGGACCCCCAAAAAATAAAAATAAAAGAGTATTAGCAACAGTTTTAGCAGCCAAGTTCTTCCAGATGTGAGTTTCTCAGCAGCAACTTCCATCATCCTTAATTACTGGCCATAGCAGTTGGATCTGAGAGCTGACATTAAAAACAATCCACAGGGCAACAAGTTCATCATTCGGACTTAAGAGGTCTCTTGTATTCAACACTGTTCTATTTTGCAATCTTTCCTATCCAAAGGAAGTCAGTCTAGTATCTTGCTTCTGCACTAGGAATTTGCAACATTTTACTCCCATCAAGGCCCACAAAGGAGAAACAGGCTTTGGGAATCAAACCCATTGGCTTAATTAGTGCGTTCTGCCAGAATCTTGGAATTCAACCACCAAAACGTTAAAGCACACACAGCTACTGCATACAAATAGGGAACTTCTAAAATAGCCAGGGTCAGTAAGCAGAGTGGATGATAATTTTAAAACAACAGATATTTCCCCAGCAATGCATTAGGCTATAACGGCAACAAATTGATGAGCAACATTTGATTTCATAAAGGCAGAACTATAATTAATCATGAACATAAAATTAAATCTAACTTTAAGGCATTATTTATTATTTAAACAAAGTTCTCATCATCAGTTATATAAAATACGAAAAACTGTAAAAACTAAGTAAATTCATAGAAAAAATGATAATATACAGCAGGTAAAGCCCCAGTAAAACTAATAACTGAACAAGAAGTATAAAAGGTAATTAAGATGAATCCATTATAAAAGCATAAACATCTTGGTTATTCAGTATAAGAATAAGACTTTCAATATGATCAAGTAGAATTCCACAATATGCATGGTTTAAAATGGGTAACATCATTTACTGACTCCCCAGTCACTGGGTTTTTTTTTAATAATTTCATTAGACATTACAGTTATACACATAAAAAGCACTACAAACTACAAAAAATAAAAGAATAGAAAGAAAAAATAGAAAGTGCAGAAAGAAAAAAGAATATAGCAAAGAAAAAGAAAACAAATATATAAAGAAGTAACTTCTTCCTTCTTCACAAGTATAAACGATTTTAGCAACCTATCACCTTCTATTAAAATACAACAAACAATAGCTTTGTCTCATATCTCATCTCATCTATAAACAGATCCTTAAAACCTCGTCATTCAATCCTAATCAGCAAAAGTCCATTAAGGGTTACCAGAAATAACAACATATCTATTTTAAGCTTAATCAAATAAACCCACTTTATGTTCCTTCCTTTTACTTTTAACAATCTTGATTTTTAATCCCTTCAAAGGATGTTCTAGAGCTTGTTTTCTTCTCTCTCTCTCTTTGTTTTTGTTTTTTGTTTTGGTCTCTTCTCGCAAAATCCTTCAGAACTTTAACAGGACTCTTTTGTAAATCCAACATAAGAAAATTATCCAAACTGCTCTTTTGGTTTGCCATTTGTATATCCCTTTTAATTATTAAAACATCAGCTGGTTTCATGTGTATATCCAGTGTAGCATCCTTTTCCATATCATTCTTGTAACTTGCCATTTTTAAATCCACATTCAAATCAATCTCAGTCTTGTCCAGTAGAACTTGTTCCTCTTCTAAACATCTTTTAAAAGCAATCTATAATGGCAGATCCCCATTAACTTTGCTTGTAGGAAGCTGGCAGGGAGGGTCGCAAATGGCAATCACGTGACTATGGGACACTGCAAATGTCATTAGTGCAAGCTGGTTACCCAGCATCCAGATTGAGATCACATGACCATGGGGTGCCAGGACAGCCGGAACTTTGAGGACTGGTCGTAAGTAACACTCATTCAGTGCCATAGTAACTTTGAATGGTCACTTAACAAGTGGTCATTAACCGAGGACTACCTGTGTATAACTAGCTATCATCAGCATTTTGGTAGATGACCTTTCCCTGAGGCTTCGTCTAGACCTTAAACAGGATTGATAAATGTGTCTGGCAGAAGAATATTTTACTATCTGGGAGAGAAGATGTTATCTCAGATTACCTGCTCATTAATATAGTCAAATATAAGGCAAGATATTATTAATTAGATTAGGAAAAGTGTAAAAAGGGAACCTGTGCAGAAGCTATTTCAGCTAACCATGCAGATAGCTAATTCCTTCTTACTTATGCATTGTTCAGATAGACCTGGACCTAGGTGAGCCTCTGTGTGTGTGTTTGTGTGTATTATGCCAGTCTCTTTTGTAATTTTCTGATATTTTTCTAGCCTGTTTTAACCTTGTGTTTTAGTTAAAGAGAGCAAGGGAGTTTTTGTTTCAGAAATGATTAAGATGCATCTCCTTGGAGAGTGCATTCCATAGTCTGAGAATCACAGAGGAGAACCCCTCCCCTACATGCCACATATGACTACATGGTGGGAGGAATCTTCCAGTAGGGCTTTCTTGATTATTTAAGTATCTAGGCAGATTGACAATGGGAAAAGCAGTCCCTCAGATAATTAATCCCTAACTGCTTAGGGCTTTAAAGACCAATACCAATGCAGCTAGTCCTCACTTACCAACTGCCTTATTCAGCAACCAAAGTTATGATGGTGCTGAAAAAATAACTTTACAACCAATGCCCGCATTTATGACCTTCACAGTGTCCCTCAGTCACATGACTGCCATTACAGTCAGTACCTGTCCTGGGCCTGGCCTGTTGTTTTTCTTTTTTTCTCCCCTTCCAGAGTGGAGAGATTGAGGAGGAAGAGATTACAAGAGGGTAAACAGGCACACAATGGAGAATACACATCAAAAGGACTGCACTCGGAGTTGAGAGCTGCGAGTGCACTACACAAACAGCCCGGTGTATTCCCCATTGTGTGCCTGCTTACTCTCTCGTAATCCCTTCCTCTCCAATCTCTCTGTACTGCAGGGGGGAGGAAAAAAAACAGGTCAGACACAGGAGAGATTGCCTACAGAACTCGCTTTTTTTCCTCCCCCCCCAAGGGGGAAGAAACAGGGTCAGATTCCCATCATCTAGTTTCTAGTGTACCTGATTCACTAAGGTGATCAAAGTAGTCTCAGTACTATATCCCAAATGAAACTCCAACTGAAATATATTCAGATAATCAATTTTATCCAGATGAATTTGAAGATGAAACGCCACTAATTTCTTAATATCTTTAACCAGGAATGGAATATTTCAGATGCCCTATAATTAGAAAGATTACCTAGGTCACGTGCATCCAATGTTTGGAATCCCAAAGATCACCCATTTGATGAAATATTCTGCAGCTCATGAAAGGTTATGCATTATAATAATGTTTTATAGTCTTAAAGGTGCTACTAGACTCTTTCTAATTTTTGGTTACTATAGAATAACATGGGTTTCCTCATAAAACACCTGGGTCACAGTGTCACAATTTGTAACTTAAGCACCTGCCAAGGGTGAAATTGCTCACTGCAGAGTCAGAAACTTCAGATAGGAATTCAAATCAATTTTCCTGTACTGATGCAATTATTTAAACTCATTATTTGCATATACACATACACATACTTATTCCTACCGTTAAGCTGGCCAGGTTGATAAAGGCAGATCTTCAAAGTACTCTTTTTTCGACTACTATACAGTAATAGTTCTTTGATATTTGAAAGTCCTTTTGTTGTCGGAGGAAAATGTCTCATTCCTATTGACCTTTCAAGCGTTGGGAGTAAATTAGTAAGACATCCAATGACCCCTTCACATGTCTTGAGTTGCAATCAGATGTGAAATCGCTTAGGTAATTAACTGTCTGGCATCTCTCGCCTTATTCAACCATGCTTAATTGCTAACTGAAATTTAACTTATTTAGCCAACCTTTACCTTTAAACGTGGTACAGCTTTATCACAGGAGGGCTTTTCCAGTAGTATAAACTGCCTCATTTAAGCAAGATAAAAACATTCTACCCACAAGGGGCCATTGATTGCCACCCTTGAAAACTGATTTAATCAGCTAAGAGAGGCACGGTTAGAGTTAAAACAGATGTCGCCTTCTTAGTCACTGTATACTGTAGATGACTGTAACAGCCACTATTTAGGACAGGGTGGTTGTTGTGGGGAAAATAGGAGGCAGGAGTATTAGGTTTGTTTGCCGCCTTGAGGTGGGATAACAATCTAATAATAATAGTAGTAGTAGTAGTAATATTTATTTATTTATTTATTTATTTATTTTTATTATTATTAAATGTGTATGCCACCTATCTCCCCCAATGGGTGACTCTGGGCAGCTCACAATTAAAAATCAAAAACCTATAAACAATTAAAATATCCCATAATAATTAAATACTCAATCCATTAAAATCCACTAAAAACAAACCCTATACATAAATACTAAAGACATTCAAGATGACGGGAGGGGGTTTAAATCAATTACCCCACAAGCCACTTCCACTGATGCGAGCCCCCATCCGGCCCCCAAGCCTTCTGGCATAGCCAGGATTTCACACCTTTCCTAAAGGCCATGAGAGTGGGAACACACCACAACTCGGGAGGAAGATTGTTCCATAGAGCGGGAGCCACAGCAGAAAAAGCCCTCTGCCTAGATCCCACCAGTCAACCGGTGGGGTCTGCAACATGCCCCTTCTGCCGGACCGAGTGGGGTGGGCTGAAATAACAGGGGCGAGACAGCTCCCCAAATAACCTGGTCCTGTGCCATGAAGGGCTTTAAAGGTGATGACCAGCACCCTGAATTGGACCCGGAAGCAAACTGGCAACCAGTGCAGCTCGCATAACAGCGGTGTTATATGTGCCCTCCTAGGGGCACTCAGAACTGTCTGCGCCACTGCATTCTGCACCAGCTGTAGCTTCCGGATACTGTTCAAGGGTAGAAGCACGTTACACGTATGTAGAGCACATTACAGTAATCCAACCGGGAGGTGACCAGGACATGAGTGACTGTGCGGA